TTGAGAGTTTTATTGTTTGTTTTAAGTGCGTCTGTACAGGTCGGGCCTTGTCATGGCATGAATGTTCTGGCCACAATTTAAAATAACATTTGAGAGTCTTATGTGTACATATACACACAGAAGTGAAGTGGATTTTAAAATTACATCTATCTCCTTGAGTGTGGTTTTAAAAACAGTTTGACTATGTCAATATTCTATTTACTTATTGATGAATAGTATTATATTATAAAGATACTGGAAATACAGGTCTGGGGAGGTGGCTTGATGTGAAGATCCCAGTGCCCCCTGACCCCACAGTTATCAAGTGATATTAATGTTGCTGATGGTAGACCGTGCTTTGAGAACCAGTTTTTTAACTAGCAGTCTGGGGGCATGAAAATTACTTTTTGTGTTTTCCAAATAGTCACTAACTTGCTTGGGCCGGACTTGAGCTTGCAGTATTAGGCACTTATATTTTCCAAGAACCTGTAGTTACTAAGTTACCCAGGCTGGGCTGAATTTTGTGAACATCCTGTGTCTGCTTTCCAGAGTGATGCGGTTACAGGCCTGTGCTACCATATGCAGCTCTGAGAACCAAATGGGAACACAAATCCCCAGGCCTTGCTGCAGATCTTTTTCTAGACCTACTCATTCAGAAAGTGGAGTAGGGCCCAGGAATATGTGTTTCAAAAGCCCTCCAGATAGGGAATAGTAAAAAAAGGTGAGAAAAGAAGGAAAAAATGGAAACTAAGCTTTTGTAAATGGAGAAGGAGAAGAGGTTGAAGAGAGGGAGAGGGTAGGAGAGTAGGGGGAAAATGAAGTTATATTGTGTACAGGTACAAATTCTGTATGATGAATGTGATCATTATGTAAATCTAAAATGTACCAATAGCCAGGCATGGTAGCGCACGCCAGTAATCCCAGCACTCTGGAAGCTGAGGCAGGAGATTACTGCAAGTTCAAGGCCAGCCTGGGCTACAAAATGAGTACAAGGCCAGTCTAAACTGCATAGTGAAACCCTGTTTCAAAAAGACAAAAGAAAAAGGTACCAATAAAATCTGATTGAAGAAAAAGATGAAAAGCTTTCCAAGTTATACTGATGATCACTAAAATTTGAGCAGTACCGCTTAAAAGCACAGAGAATGAAAACACCAGAGAAGCGATCTCCTGCTCTCAGTTGACTGCAGTGTAAAACTAAAATTCTTTCCCTACAATCTTAAGAGTAAAGTTTAGGTTTATTTTTGATGCTTTTATTTTGAAATCATATGAGATATGCTGAATGCTTTTTAGTTTCTTTCTCCACATGGGTAAAAGCATCTGCTAGTATATTTCAGTTTAAAAACTGGTTACTGGGTTTCTTTTTAGCGAGTATGGCATCATTTGATTTAGATGTTTCTTCTTCTGTCAGAATTTGATCAGGATAAAGTGCAGTGTAATAAAAAATCACAACCTAGCAGCACTAAAAGTATTCTGTTCCCTTCTGTTTTATTTGGTGAAAAGTTTTGGCATGAGTTTTGTCAGGGAAACTATTTTCAAGACAACATAAAATTAATAACGTCTTTAAACTTAAAAAAGTGTTGTCTATTGGTAGCAGATGTCCAACTTTGCGTTTTTGTTCCTTTTCCAGGAAATGACTCCCATCTGCAGCAAGCTGGGTGCTGACCTTTTAATGTGCATACTGGTTACTTAGCAAAGTGCCAACCCAGTATTACATATATTGTAATTACTAATTTACAAATGAAGAAACTGGTTCTCATTTGGTTAAAAGTATGTGCTAGCTAGTTTATTTTCTTTCTAGCGTTTCAAAAGTTTGGAACTAGAAAGTTTTATGTATCTCTAAACCTGACATTGAATTCTTTTGAGTGGGCTGGTGTGTGGGGAGAGAATTCTTGGTTTGGGTCAAATGGTGAAAGTTAATCCCTGCAACACAGCAACAGAATCGCCTGGAACTTAGTAGAAATGTGGATTCTCGCCCTCAGCCTCAAAAGAATCAACCTAGAGACTGAAGCCAGGGTTCTGGGTGCAGGGCTGTCAGGCTGTCTAGGTGATTCTGATGCCCACTGAAATCTAAGCACCCTTGGGCTATGCTTAGTTTTTTTGGTTGTAAAAGGAAAGCATAGTATTGTAAAATTACGTATATGCTATTAATAATGCCAGTCAGATCTGGATAAATCAAGAGCATTGTAGCCAGAAGAGCTTGGTTTCTTCTTTTTCTTTTTTTTGTCTTTTGGAGACAGGGTCTCATTATGTAGTTCAGGCTGGCCTTGAGCTCACTTTGTAGCCCAGGCTGTTCTTGAACTCACTGCAATCCTCCTGCCTCAGCCCCTTGAGTGCTGGGTTTATAGGTGTGTGCCACCACGCCTGGCCAGAAGAACAACCAAGCTCTTGCATGACTTCTTTAAAATATTATATCAGACAAGGTACTTACCATCTCTGAGCGTCAGTTTTTGCATTTGTAAAATATTTATAAGCATAGATATCAGGAATCACAGTTACTGTATTATCTTAGATACTCAATAGATACTGATTTAAAAGTGCCACAAAATTTAATTTAGAAGAAAATATACTTTTGGGGAGAATTAATGATTTTAGTAGAAGAAAGAGTATCAAGATAAAATATGCAGGCTTTCTCTTAGCTGCAGCTAGAATCTTCCTAGGGATTCCAAACTGCTTTGAATAATTTCATATGCTTAAAGATAGTCATAGAAGCTTCTCTTTTTTAATTCCTTTGTTTTTTTCCTCCCTTCACTCCCCCTGCTCAGCCACAGAAACTTTTTATCTTCGTAACAGTTTTGAAAGTGCCTTGAATCTTAAATGGAGAGGTTGCATCCCAGTACAGTCTATGGATGTTCCACTTTGTGCAGGTGCTTTGAGTATTTATTAATTAAAACAGGCAGGATGTTCCACTTTGTGCAGGTGCTTTGAGTATTTATTCATTAAAATATTTAAAAATAGGTAATACATTATCTTGTTTCAAGTATCAATAAAAGAAGATATACAGTAGCTGGGTGTGGTGGTGCATACCTGTAATCCCAGCACTCAGGAAGCTGAGGCAGGAAAATTACTGCAAGTTTGAGGCCGGCCTGTTCTATGCAGTGTGTTTAGAGCTAGTCTGAACTACATAGTGAGATCCTGTTTAAAAACAAAACAAAAGAAAAAAAAAGAAAAGAAAAGAAAAGAAAAGAAAAGGTGTTCAGGGGATAAAATCTGTTACATCCCTAACCTAAACTGCTTCAGTTAGCCCTGCTGTATGTTTCTTAAGTTTTTTGTTTATCCTCTTTAGGATTTCTTACTGCACATGTAAACATATATGAATAATTTTTCCCACCACAGGAGATAACACACTTACACTGTTCATTTCCATGTTCAATGTATCTTGGATCTTGAATTTGTTTTCACACAGAGTGCTACATGATTCATTTTTTCCTAGCCTACTTTGTTGAAGATAATGAACTATATCCAATTTAAGTGTATAATTCGATGAATTTGACAATTATATACCTGCAGACGCTCCACAGCAGTTAGGATTATATCTCCATGATTTTTCTTTTAGTGTGTCATAGTATTTCATTGTATTATATATTTCTAAACCAGTCATTTGTTGGTGGACATCTGGGTGCCGGTGCAAACAGTGCTACAGTTGATAATGTTTTTCCTGTAGCATTTCATATGAAAGAAATGACAAAGGAAAGAGCCTTGAGTCTGTAAGGGCTGCAAGTTGTGGGAAGGCAAATACCATATATGGGAAGCTACTGGTAGACAAATGCAATTTACTAGTTTGTTATGTCAGTTCCTCTGATATGCCATCTTCAGACTGGTAAGAGTATAGAATTGTTTTATTTATTTATTTATTTTTGTCTTTTTGAGACAGGGGCTCTCTATGCAGTACAGGTTGGCCTTGAGCTCACTTTGTGGCCCAGGCTGGTCTCGAACTCACAATGATCCTCTTGCCTCAGCCTCCCCAGTGCTGGGATAACAGGTGTTATCCCATCATGCCATCACGCCCGGCCGAGAATTGTTTCGAGGAGTACATTCTGACTTTTTCTTGTAGAGAGGCAGAGGGATACCTTTGTAAATTTATGTCCTGATCTTAGGGGAATATAATGAGTGGGAGGGCAGAGAGCTGTTCTTGTATCTATTGTTTCTTAGTTCCTTTAGCTCAAAGTGATCCTTGTGCCAAAGTGGCGTGTTGTTTTGGATGAGATATTCACTACCCACTAGCAATACAGGCAGTGCCTGTTTCACCACAGTTTAGCTGACAAGTACATTATTCAACTTTGGATTTTTGCCAGTTAGGTAGACAGTGCTATTTTAGTTTGATTTTGTAGTTTTTTTTTTTTTTTTTTTTTTTAAAGAGTGAAATGAACATATTTTTGCAAGTTAGAAGATGGGTCATTTATAATATTTACTTTTCTGCCAAATATCTGTTCATACTCCGTCCATTTTTCTATTGAATTTACATGTTAGAATGATTACCTCTTTTTTGCTGATAGTATTTTTCCCTAGATTGTCATTTGCCTTTGTCAGTGCAAGAACTTTAGTTGAAGAGTTTGTCTAAGTTTTTGTTCCGTAGGCTGTCTTCCCAAAAATTGTTTATCGTTTGTTTCTTTACTTTTCTTCTGTTTTCCTTTTTATTTCTTCCCTTTTCCCCCACTTTTTCAGAGTAGTTTCTTTTTTTCTTTTTCCCTCTCTTTTTTCTTGTCCCCCCTCCCCTCTCCACCTCTTTCTGAAGATTAAATGCAAGGTTTTCACATAGAGTTTTTTTTTATTTTGAGAAGGGAGTTGCTAGGTCACTTAAGTTGCTCAGTGTGGACTAGAACTTGTGATTCTCCTACCTCAGCCTCCCATAGTACTGGGATTACAGGTGCATACCACCACACTTGGCTCCTGCATAATGTCTGAAAAAAGGATTTGAGATAGCTTGAAGATGAGATGATTTGTTTTTGAATGATAGTCAGTTCAAAGGGTAAATGTTGTTAAATGATTTTAATATATATGACCTTGGTTCATCTATTTTGAAGGCCATGTTTTTGGTATACTGTGCACTGGAGAAAGAACCTGTGCCAATGTCCTTGCCTCCAGCTTTGGTGCCACCATCTAAAAGAAAAACGGTCAGTATATCAGGCTCTATGCGATTGATCCCCTCCTCAGCACCAGCCAAGGAATCTTACCACTCCTTGCCACCTGTAGGCATTTTACCTACCAAAGCACCGTTAAGACAGGTATAGATTTATCAGTGTTAAAGGACTGTCTTTTTAACAAAGTGCATGGCATTTAACAGTTGATTATTTGATAAAGATAGAAGGAACAGTTAAGCACAGATTTACAGTTCCCTCTGGAACTTAAAACTACACAGTGAGATGTCCCAGAGGAGATCGGTATTCTTCTGCATTGCCTTAGGTCAGTGGTAGTGAACCTGTAGCATGAGTGTCATAGCAGACTGTTTGTATCATTCAAAGCTCTGAAAGGTTCACTATCCCTGCTTTAGGTCATACGGATCTTTTATTGGCTTTGCCTTGATTTACCTGGAATTAAAGTTGGAGATGGAAGATGCTACATGCTAACACAGCATGCTTGCCCTGGCATGATTAATGTTTTTGTTTAATGTCTAGTTAACTCTTGATTTTTGGGGATCAGATCATACAATTCTGGTTTGTCCGTGACTGTTTTCTCCCTCTAACATGCCTCTTCTCAAATTGAATAAAGCAAAATAATGACATGATATGCAAATTGACCAATTTGGCTATAGTTAACAATGCTGGATGCAACTATAGAAAATGGAGATTGAAAATTATCTGAATATTTTGTTTACTTTCAAGCTACCTGTGGGAATGGGAATTTATAAGTCAAGAGTTAACTATGCTTCAGTTTATTTGTTACTTAAAAGAAAAAAGTAAAATAGGCATTTATAAATTTAGTTCCACCTGACCTGTATTTTTGTTACTTTCTTTGCACCACAGTAGTTGGGAGGTGATACACTGTTACAGTTAGTAGGGTAGACTTACTCAAAATTTGTGACAGATACTATCATGCATTGGAAGAGTGATGCTTCAGAGTTTGTTCCATTTTGGCAGAAATGCTGTTTTTCCCTCTTTCCCACCCTCTCTAGTGGGTTGTATCCCCTGCAGAAAAGGCTAAATATGATGAAATCTTCCTGAAAACAGATAAAGATATGGATGGGTTTGTGTCTGGATTGGAGGTCCGTGAAATCTTCCTGAAAACAGGTTTACCTTCTGCCTTACTAGCCCGGATTTGGTAAGACTTTTAAATTGATTTTTAAAGCAAATACAGTTTTGTATCTGTCTAGTTTTGTTGCATGCTTTCTTTTAGTCACTTTTGTGAGCAGGATGATTTCTGTTTCTGTGGTACTGGGGATCAATCCCAGGGTACTCCTACCACTGAGCTTCATTGCTGCCCTTTTTATTTTATTCTATCTTATTTTTTATATTTATATTTTTTGTGGTATTGGGGGGTTGAACCCAGGGCTTTCACACAGAGCTCCATCCCCAGTCTTTTTTATTTTTTACTTTTTGAGACAGGAGCTCTGTAAGTGGATAAGCTGTCCAGGCTGGGCTCAAAGTTTCTACCCTCCTGCTTCAAGTCTACCAGAGTGCCGGGATTACAGGCCTGTGCCACCATGCTCAACTTCTTTATATTTTTAAGAAGGCTCTAAATAAGTTGCCCAGACTCATAATTGTGATTATCCTGCTTCAACCTCTCAAGTAACTAGTTTGTTTGAGATTTTTTTTTTTTTTTTTTTTTTTTTTTGAGACAGGGTCTCGCAGTGCAGTTCAGGCTGGCCTTGAGCACACTTTGTAGCCCAGGCTGGTCTCAAACTTGCAAAGGTCCTCTTGCCTCAGCCTCCCGAGTGCTAGGATTATAGGCATGCGCCACCACGTCCAGCTTGAGAATTCTTTTTAGAAAAGTTAAATTTAAAGAGATCTTCTGGGTAATGGATGGACAAAAGCTTGAAAATGTGTTGCTTGGAGCTTTATAAGATTGACAGTGTCTGTTTATTGCAGTGTTTAAAGTACTGTATTTGTTTATATCAATTAAAATAGAAAACAGGGAAATAGAACTTTTGTAAAAGGGAAGAGGACCAAGAGATGGAAGGGAAAGGAGAAAAGGAAGGGGATAAAGAAAAGAATTAAGATGTGTTATGTATGTGTACTAACTCCCCACGATGAATGTAATTGTATGTACTGCGGTATATACTAATAAAATAAAAAATAAAACGAAATTTTAAGGGAGAATTCATATATCTGAAATTTAAATAACATAAAGAACATCTTTAGTTATACCTACCCCATTTTATAGGATATATGTGTACTTCTACACCTTTACATAACACACTCGGTCATTAAAAAAGAGAAACCTTAAGTGTCTTTAATGAATTGCACTTTAAATATGATAAATATGAAAATTCTTTGTAGTATGCCTGTTACCAATACAGCTACCTTATACCATAGCTTATTTTGAGAGTTTCAAGAGACAGTGAAGATCAAAAGTAAAACCACATTGTTGCAAAGCCAAACTTTAAAGAACAGAAGAAGATAGTAGGTTTTCCTTAAAAGGGAGAAGTACCATGTCTTGAGAGAGATTAAACATGATAACTGGATGCTAACTGGGATATTGGGTGCTACTTTTGAGTACCCAGATTAGGCACTGTACTCCATAAAGGCAGCTCTCACAGAGGATCTTGGCACCATACCCAGACTTTTATTTTTTCTGTCTTTTTGAGATAGGGTCTCAGTATACAGTTAAGGCTGACCTTGAACTCACTTTGTAACCCAAGCTGTCCTCAAACTCACAGTGATCCTCCTGCTTCAGCCTCTGGAGTGCTGAGATTACAGGTGTTCGCTACCACACCCTGCTACCCAGACTTTTAACATATTTTGTCTTTAATTCTTACAATTGCCTCCCAAGGTAGGCATTATCTCTGCTTTATAGATGAAGAAACTAAGCCCTGAGGAACTTAAAAATTTGGATCAGGTCATAAGGAAGAAATAAGTAGAAAAGCTGCAATTCAAATTGTATTTAGTACCATAACCTGTAGTTTTTTCATCAGGACACATTGGTTTTCAGAGAATTAAACAAATCACACTTCAGAAAGCTGAGGTTTAAAAATCAAAAAGAAAAAAGTGAAAAAGAAAGTTGAATGAGATGCTGGTTTTTCAAGGGATTTTGTGAAGCTTCCCAGATTGCTGCCTTCTCCTTAAATGTGATCTCCATTTGCAGCTGTTCTTTCTGCTTTGGCTTAGTGATCCTTGTATCGTCCTGTGCCAAAAATTGCAGGAAACAGGCTGACACAGATGTTTTTGCTTGCTTTAGAATTATTACAGTGCCACCAGTGAACGAAATTTGTTGAGACATAGGTTTCACCTTTACATCTTTTAACATTAAAAATTTGAGGAGTAGGGAATGTTGAGATTCATTGGTCACAACTTTTATTTTGTAGTGGTCTTGGAAATTGATTAGAAAAGCAGATTAGATGCTAATCTGCACCAGGGTGACCCTTCCCTTTTTACCATTTTAATTGATTTATCTCTTCTAATAGTTGGGTGAGTTTTGGACAAGCTGCAAATTGGTATGACTCTTTAGTTTAACTGATTATTTTGTATTTTTTTCTTCTAGATATTTAGGATGGTTGTTGTAGCATTTATATATGTTCATTTTGCTTATTTGTACAGGGCATTATGTGACACAAAAGACTGTGGGAAGCTTTCAAAGGATCAGTTTGCGTTGGCTTTTCACTTAATCAATCAAAAGTTAATAAAAGGCATTGATCCTCCTCACATTCTTACTCCCGAGATGATTCCACCATCAGATAGGATGACTTCACAAAAGGTAAGGTAACTTAAAACCTGAATGTGTTAGTAGAAAGGAGCAAGTGCTGTGTCAAATGAGAGCTGATTTAGATGGGGTAATAATGCAGAAGGTGTGTCTGGCTAGGAGCAGAGCAGTACACCATTTGTGGTTTAGTTTGTACCTATAAATATGCTCACATGCCTTGTATAACATTGTTGCTCTGCTTCTTGTTTATCTCACTGTTCATAATGCATACGGGAACTATATTTTTTCTTAAATTGGAAAAATGTGGTGTTATGTTTTCCTTCATGAATTTGTGAATTTTTTTTTTTTTTTTTTTGTGGTCCCGGAGATCGAACTGGCGACCTTGTACTTGCTAGGCAGGCGCTTATGCCACTGAGCTATATCCCCAACCGAATTTGTGAATTTTTATGAATACAGTGTAAAAGTTAAACTGTAGGAATTAAATTATTGTGTTCATTTGATCTTTCATTCTTATAGAATAACAGTATAAATTTGAAAACAAAATCTAGGTCATGATGATTGCTTAGTGTCAATTTTATGTATTAAAAAAAAGCCCTTAAGAACAACACTGTAATGAGGATACATTTGTGTGAGACTTTTGCTTCAGATGACCTTTCATTCCTGAGTGTACAGCTAAACTTCATATTTGAATAGCTAGAAGCAAGTTTTAGTTACTTTGGGTTTGGGGTCAGCAGTAGGAATTGTCAAAACTACATCACTTTCATCATGGTGTTCCTTGATTTTTCTCTCTCGTGTAGAAACCCTTCCTACTATAGTGCACTTATGTCATCTTGGCCTTAAATAGACCTTTTTTTTTTTTGTCTTTTTGAGACAGGGTCTTGCTATGCAGTTCAGGCTGGCTTTGAGCTCACTTTGTAGCCCAGGCTGGCCTCGAACTCACAACAATCCTCCTGCCTCAACCTCCCAAGTGCTGAGATTACCGGCATGAGCTGCCACACCCCCCAGCTAATAGACCTTTAAAACTATATACTTCATTGTCTGTTTCCCTTTAAAAATAAATACTTCAATCTCTGCCCTGGCATGATGTTGTGTGCCTATAGTCCCAGCTCCGAGGCGGGCAGAAATGAGAGGTTTGCTTGAGCCCAGAAGTTTGATGCCAGCCTGGGCAATAATACTGGGAGCTCTGTCTCAGAACAAAACTTTTATCTCTTTAACATCTCCTTTGGCCTACAAAGTAACTATTGGTATGGTGATTCTTCAGGGCTGTATATAATAGTTGTTGTCATATGTGTGTTATGTATGAGGACCTCTCTCTTTCAAATATCAATAGAATATTTTGGTTTTGCATTAATTTTTTAACAGGTTTTTTAAAATCCCATTTTAACAAAACTAGTAAAACTCAAAACCATTTTTTCCAAGTAGAATTTACTGCCACCAGGTATAGGGAGTTCCTTATACAAGTTAACAGGTTCCCAACCAGGTCCCATGCCTCTGGATAGGACAGTCATGCATGTACCACCAGGGGTTCAAAGCACCTGGCAGAAGATATGTGAGGTATAGCCCCATTGTGAACATGTTAAAGTTCTTATTTTTAATAAAATAAATATTTAATTATAAGCTTTCTGAGGTTTTTTTTATAGGGAGGGTCACTTTGTGAATTTTTAAAGATCCTTTGTGATATATGACATAGGCTCTCTTAGGTTGTAGAGAAGGCTGGCAGTGATGCCATGAGAAAGATAAAGATTCCTGGCCTACAAAGTTTAAGTTCCTAATGGTGCTGATGCATTTAACAGACACAGGAACAAGCTGTACTCTAATTCTACAAAGCCATAAATTTTGTATATAAATTACATCTAAGTGGAGAACATATTACTGGATTTGTTTTTATGCCCTCTACTGTGTAACTGTATCTTGTTTATGAAATACTTTGCTGTTTCATCCTTTTATTTTTGGTACTGGAAATTGAACTGATGACCTTGTGCTTTCCAGGCAGGCACTCTGCTGCTGAGCTATATCCCTGGCCCCTCACTTTTTACCTCTATAGACTTTTCTTCCCTTACCTTCTGCATTTGATAACCGACAGAGACTCCCATCAACATGGATTACACATCATAACAGAGATTTCTAGAGCAAATTATATGTGTTCATTGAAGTGTTTTTAGTGTTTGTAGACACTTGAAGTTGCGTCTGGTGTACAGAGTTTTTAATTTAGTAGATTTCTGTGGTATTCATTTACTAGAACAGACACTTTTGTCTTTGTGTCAAGTATTGTATTATTCATTGAGATGGAATCTTATCTCTGTTGTCTTATCAAGTAACCAAAATTTTTTAACTTAATGGAATTTTATCTCTGTTGTCTTATCAATTAACCAAAAATTTTAACTTCAAAAATTAAAACTTGAATTTATCTTTTTAGATAATCTCTTTTCTCCTTATAATCTGATTTTTTTTAAAGTACTGCAAAAAAATTTTTTTTGGCAGCTTTGACTAATCCTTTTTTTGAATGCTTCCTTTTGAATGTTTCCTTTCTATGTTTTTTCTAGTTTGAACTATTTTTTCTATTCTGCAGCACTCTGCTTTTTGCCTTTCTTGTGCTGTCAGTTTCTTAACTCTGCTCTCTGTCAGGCTTAGAGCTTTCTCTTAAGCTTTTTTTTTTTTTTTTTTTTTTTTTACACATACGTTTTGAAATTAGAGTTTTTTTTTTTTAATGCAGTAAGATTGAGGAAAGAACATACCTAAACAGCATGCTTTTGTCACATGTCACTTGGTCCTTGTATATATTTCAGCTTGCCTTCTTTGGGCTCTTTGATCCACTTACAGTCACCAAAGCAGAATTTTTGTGTAATGCACAAAACAGAGAGACAGAGAAAATATTTTGAAAGAAGGGAATATGCTTGTTTTTTCTCTGTATGCCTTTACATACTGTATGTAACGTTAGCTGAGCTTTTTCTATGCTTCCTGGTTAGTTACATGCCATTTTAGTCATTTAGGGTATTACTTTCTAACTTGTTTGAGGTTAAACTAATTTGTCTTACTTTGCCTTCTTGATGATACTTTCGTAGCAAAAACTGTCAAATATGAGTCACTTTTTTAGAGTGACAGAAGAGGTGTGGAAATCATGTGCTTTTGGGACACTTGCACCTCTGATAGCAAATTTCTCAGTAGCTCTTAAGTGATAGAAGTTACTGTTGATGATAAAAGTGAGACCGTGTGCTATTTTTTCATTTTGTTCCTCTGTCTAGCTGTCTGGGCAAGTTCAGCATATAGATCAAGTTAAAACAGAGTTAAAATTGTAGTGAGTAAATGTCACATTCAGAAACCTACTTTAAACTTTCTAATTTAATACAGCATTATTAAGGGCCACTATATCAGTGGAGTACAATAAAACAGAAAGAGGTATATTTCATAGAAATCTCAGTTCAGCCAGGTATGGTGACACAGATATGTAATCCTAGCATTCTGGGAAGCTGAGGCAGTAGGATTCTAAGTTTGAACCCAACCTGGGCAATTTAGCGATTATTGAGACTCTGTTTTAAATGAAAAAGGGTTTTAGGGGATAGTTTACAAGGGAATTTAGCTCTATATAAATGCCGTAGGTTCAGTCCCCAGTACCAGCCCCCTGCAACCAAAAAACAAAGTAAAGCCTTGCCAAAAAACCCTGTAATTAACATAAAATTGCAAGTTATTAATTAAATTCTAAGTGATTTTTTATATTGATGTTCAAAACAAAAGCTTAGTATTAAAAATGCAGTGTGGTATAAAAAATATAGAAAGACTCATTTGTCAGATTTTATTGATGTATATGTTTATCAGATATACTTTTAGCATAATGGCTTCATTTACCTTAAGTGACTTTTGACATGCATAGTATAAAATGGCAGTTGAGAAGACTTTTGATGAAGCTCCTGTTAGCTCGGTTTAACTTTGAGCAGTCATTTAATGTGTTTTCTCAGACCTAAAGTGGAGTTAGTAATACCTGCACTACTTAATGACCCACTTTTCAGATTAGTTTTGAGAATTGCCTAATGGATTGACAGTACTTACCAAATTATAAATGACCATATATATGCAAAGAGATGGGCTATTGGGAATGCTTAGGTTTTTTTCTGTTCTGCAAATTGCTGACATACATTAAATATATATAACATAAGTTTTAGAACTACTAAGTTTTATCTTCTACTAATAAGGCCATCAGTTGATCAGGCCTCTATTTTAACATTTCCAGAAGGTGATTATTTTATTACTTGTCAGTCTGGTTTTAGCATTGGATATAAATCAAGGATTTGAAAGAGGTTATCATTTTGCCTTGACTTCAGCCAGCTATATACCATATCAGTGATAGTTTACAATGGATAATTATTTCACTTAATTTGTGGAGTGGGTGGGACAGAGATTATCTTCCTATTTTATGGGTGAAGATCATGCAGCTAGTAAAGTAACAGCCCTGAATAAGCCCAAGTAGATTTTCAAACCATAAATGCCACTCAGATCAAATTCAATACCTTCATTATTGAAAGAGAACCATATGTAAAGAATGCCATCTATGAAGACAGCTTTTTACCACAGGTGATATTACTGTTTACTATGGGGTTTTTGATTTTTTTTTTTTTTTTTTTTTTTTTTTTTTTTTGTCTTTTTCCTGCTATGCAGTTCAGGCTGGCCTTGAGCTCACTTTGTGGCCCAGGCTGGTCTTGAACTCACAAAGATTCTCCTGCCTCAGCCTCCCAAATGCTGGGATTACAGGCATGCGCCACCACGCCCACCTTACTGTTTACTATGGAACATGCCTGAAGAGTTGGTTTTACTTTAGACACTAAAAATATTTAGTAAAAGTAAATATTTGTTGAATTGAATTAAATCAACCATCATTATAATTCTGAGATTGAGCAGAATTTATGTACTTATTTTGTGCCAGATGATACACATTGAGATAAATCACTGTCCTTTTCTCTAAGAAATTTATATTTCAGTGGAAGAATTAATTTATAAATCTGATATAGTGGTACCTCAGTCCACAAACTTAATTCTTTCCAAGATTCTGGTCACAAACCGAACTGAATGAGAGCCAGAGCAAATTCAGTGGTTAGATTCAATGTTGACCTTAGAAGAAATGTTATTCATTCTTGTCCAATTTGGTGTGTGACCAGAATCCTAGAAAGAATGGAAAGAATTAAGTTTGTGAACTGAGGTCCACTTTATCTTTTTTTGTTTGTTTTTACAGTGCTGGAAATTGAACCCAGGGCCTAAACATGCTAGGCAAGCGTTATATCCCCCAGCTTTCTGGCGTTTGTTTTATTGCAGATGCTGGAAAGGCTAGGATCAAGTGACAAAGACATTGGGATGGGTGGTTGGGAGTATATATTATAGGGTGTAATATATGTATTATGGGATAACAGGTTTAGAGAATTTAGGGAATTATCTTAGTATATATACAATTACATCTGAGTATATAATTGTATAATTGCACTATGTACTATTTTAGTACATTAATTGAAAGTGTTAGTAATGAAATAAAGTAAGCAATACTTTGTATCTGTGTGTATAGCTTTTAACTTTTTTAGTACTTTGTCATATCATGATTTTATAATAATATATAATTGTGAACTTTTTGTTTTTAGAACATCATAGGATCAAGTCCTGTTGCAGATTTCTCTGCTATTAAGGAGCTAGATACCCTTAACAATGAAATAGTTGACCTGCAGAGGTAAGTAAAATAAAATTACAGCTGACTTCGCATATATATAAACACATACAGTATATATGTGCATGGCATATGAATGTACGTGTGCAGATATAAGTAAACACACACACCTGCAGTCACTCTTTTGTTTCTAATGCATATTTTGGTAAATTCTACTTTGTTGAGTCACACAGTTCTACTTAAATGGAATTGGTATAATTTATTTCATCAAATATAAGGCAACCTCTAATAGCAATGTGCTATTTTTTTATGTATCACTGAAAAAATACCCAGTAACTACAACCTGTGACATTGATTGTATTCTTTGACTTCAGATAGGGGAAAAAAATGTGTATCTTTGAAATAATAGTTTTTCTTTAAATATTTGAATTAAAGATTAGGGCAGCATTTAAAAATATATTTTATGGAAAGAATGTTAAATGCAGACATTGTGCCAGGTGTATTCAGAACTATTATTTGATCCTTTTAAAGACTGTGACTTGAGTGAGGCAGTGCTCGTCTTGTTTTTATAGGTGAGGAAGTTAAGGTACTCAGATAATTTTGCCCAAAGGCACACAAACCTGTCACCTATAGAGCTTATATTGGAAACCAGCACTATTTGATTCTAGTTGAATCTTCTTTCTCTTACAAAGGTTAATACATAGAACCTGTGCAAATACAATTAAATTTCAATCTGAGTACAGCAGCTATTATTGATATTTTCTAAATACAGTACTCTTGTTTCCTGATACTTTCATATTCATTATAAAAACTAACTTCCCAAAATTATTTTTTATAAGATGAGACCACTTTTCTATCTACAGGACACTGGATTTAATATTTTGTATTTATACCAACCTTTTTTTTTTTTTACACTTTACAGCTCTTGGGAGCAAATAATGGCTGATACTTCGTTTTACTGATAGTATTGATGCATTAGGAGATCAAATGACTTACCTGGTTTACATGGCAAAAAGTTGGCAATGATCTTAACCTCATCTGTGAAACTGTTGAGGTTATAGGAGAGAAATGTAATGATTAGAATTCTTTTAGTTGCAAGAAGTCAACCCTAACTACCTTAAGTGAAAGTGAATTTATTGATTGGTGAAACTAAAACATTTTCATGATAGAGATGACTTAGCCACTTACCAGTCCAATTATTTAAATAGAGGATGGTGAAAAATTGTATGTTTTTTCATTAATTTTTATAAGATAATTTAATATAAAGATGAATTTTATCAAATTCATTTAATAATTTTTCTGTGTATGGTGTGTCTTAAAACATTCAATACACCACACAATGTTACAATCTGGATAGTAGTATCTAGTCCTTTTCCAAATTCTTTTTGCTTTATTGTCTTTCTTTGAACAGCACACTTTACATTGTTATATTGGGCTTTCCTTTTTTCTGTGGGTAATATAATATCAATAAAATGCCTACCCACTAAATGTAATGGTGCAGACGTCAATGATGGACGTCCTGCTTGGCATTTCAATATTTCCTATTTTTCAATTATTTAGTCTATTAGACTTAATCTTAGTAGAAAATGACTTTTTGAACCCCCTTGTTTTGAATAGATAAGAAATGAGATCCATACTGTTTGTCTTTCTGTTTCATAACACAGACATTTTCTCTGATATGCTAACATTTCTCCCTTTTTCAGTTTTTTCTTTTGCAGATCTTTTTGGCACTTCCTTTCTGTTCAGTCTCAGCATCCCAAACATGTCCATTTCATATTTAAAAGAATATCACCGAATTCTGGAGAAGTATAAAAATTTTATCTAAAGTACTTAAGAGTTTTAATAGAGTGTAGCACAAAATTATATGTTGTTTTTACAAATAAAATAAACACGAATTAAGGAAAATAACCAGAACTTATTACTAGATTTCACTAGAAACAAACATCAAAGGGGAATGCAATGTTCTAAAAAAAAAAAAAAATGTGCAAAAAAATAGTTACTGTAAAACAACAGAGGAATGAATTTATCTCCTATAAACAAGAATCATCTGTTTGAAATGACATCTGCCTGAGCTATGCTTGGGACAGCCAGTACATAAACAAATGCATTAACCCCAAGTACCTCTCAGAGTTAACTGTTACGGGGTTAAGGTGTAGCTTGATACTGAGGCCTGAATGATATAATCAGTTTTCTCTGTCTCTCTCTGTGTCTGTGTGTCTGTGTCTTTTTTCTTTCTTTCTTTTGAGACAGGGCCTGGCTATGTAGTTCAGGCTGGCCTTGAACTCATGGCAGTCCTCCTGCCTCAGCCTCCCCAGTGCTGGGTTTATAGATATGCACCACCATACCTGGGCTCTTCATTTGTTGTTTGCATTTCTACTGGATTAATTCCATTGTCTGATAAACTTTCCCCTCATGTTGGCAAGAGGGCTATAAAACATCTAGCTTCAAGTGCTTATAATTTCAAGTTTAGTGGAGAGTCCTTCTCTTGGCAGTTCATGAGAAAGTCCTGAGATTGAATTTCTTTGGCTTGGCTTAGGATCATGCCCACCCATGAGCCATTCAGTGGCCAGGGGTACATAGGTTATTGATCTGTCATGAACGCCATCATGGGAATGAGTGAGGGCCCTTTGGCACCAAGACCACAGAAGGAGGGAGTTTCTATAAATGGCAGTCGGAGAGTGTTGCCAGAAAGAGGAATGAATTCTGGGAGGCGCATGTCTTCCACAGGCACTGTCACTTGAAATATACAGTAATTTCAGTGATCAACCTTGGTATCATGTATCTCTTTGAATACTATGATTTGACAGCCTATAAATTTAGACTGTACACCTTTTTAAATGCCATTGCTTCATTTTGAACGTATCTGTCTTATACAAAATGTGACCAAATTCTTTCTTAATATTTGAACATTGCCCTTTTTTTGAAACATAAAACCTATAATATTGGAATCCCAGAAAGTTAAAAAAAAAACAACTGCTTGGAAATCAAATAATTCAGTTAAGTTACTTGTGGGTAAAAATGCAATCTAAAGTCAGAAATCAGGTTAGAGATAGTGCTGGTATCAAAATCAGATTGGGCAAGTTCAGTGTTCTTTCTTTTATACATGTCTGCCACTCATTAAGATTTAAACATGTTTGACTTTAGTTTGAAACAAAAGAAGTACATATTTAGGGGGCTAGGGATTAAGCTCAGCAGCACAGTGCCTGCCTGGCAAGTGCAAGGTCATGAGTTCGATTCCTGGTACCGGAAGAAAAACAAAAAACAAAACAAACCAAAAAAAAAAAAAAAGAAGTACATATTTAGTTACTAAGTCTGTAGTGGTATTTAAACTTTTCAGTTTCACATGGTCCATAAATAGTTCATAAACATTTTTGCCCTTCTTGTATAAATTTTTATAGTAGCTAGATTTACAAATACTTGGCTGCATGCTGGTCAAGCCCTAACATAGATGCACATCCACAGTGTTCTAGAACTTGCTTCCTTGACTTCCACATATATTTACCATATAAAATGTTTTTCTCATGAGTTTTAATAGGAATTGGAGTATCATAGATAATAGCTTTTGCCTTTGCATCATTTGTAATATGTTACATTTTGGTCAGTGAAGCTTTCAACAACTTTCTACTAACCACTGTACCAGTGACAGTCTTGTATAGTGAATGACAGCTGCTTAAGAAGAAAGAGCATACCTAACATTTTGTGACTATCGTATTATGAAAGCTAAGGGTTTCTAAACCTCGTTAGTTTTTAGGCCATACTCATACTTTATAAATGTGTAGTGTGTTTATACATGAGTTGCCATTTGTAAAAATGTTTTCTCTAGGCCTTTTTTTAAAGGTGAGATCTGTAGTGCAGGCAGTCTTCTATCATCTGTCAGGTCTAGTAACAGTATAATGAGACTCATCTACCTGTGCTGAAATTGTGGTTGTTGTTAAAATTCACTTTTATTATTATTAGGTCACTAAGTCTTCAAGGTATTACATTGTAAACCCTGGCTTTCATTTCTGTGAATAACAGGCTTTTATTTTCAGTGTAATGTTCCTACTCTTCAGCCTTTAAATCTTGTATTAATACATCAGAATGTGGTTTGTATGACTAAAAAACAGGAAAAAAGAATTTAAAGAGATTTTGTTTATGGCATTTACTAAATTGTTATTTGACAGATTAGGCATTCCTTTGTTGGTTTTGAGATAAAGAGATTTAATTTTAGTACAGAGACCAAACCTATAAAGAAACAGTAGTCATCATCATGGCTGTGTAGTGAGCATTTTACAGTATAGTATTGTCTCCCTTGATGGTTATAATACATACTTTAAAAATTTGGGAAATACAGGAAAACCCAGTGAAAAACTAAATGTTTCTTAGAATAAATAATACTTTGTTTTCAGCATCAAAAACCAGTGGGAATACTGAAAGCTATATATACATGGCAGTTAATTGGGTAAAGTGTTTTTTGTTGTATAGTTCACAAGATTTTTTTTTCTAGAAAAAAGTATAAAACAGAGTTTGAGACAGAATACCTTTAACTTGAAGGAAAAGCTATAGCTGTGGTAGAACATTCTCATCAAATACCTGGATCTTGTGTCAGTGCTTAAGATCTTTATTCTTCATTGTCTCCTATTTTCATCAGGTTTTTATCAGGACATTCTAATCTGTTGACCTATATTTCCTTTTCTCAGGGGCAGCACCATTTATTTAGTTACTGAAGCTAGACACCAAAAACTTTTTTCTCTCTCCTGTTTATTCTGCCTTTAAAATCTCTAGAGTTCATTGCTGCCTTCCCATCTCCTTTGCCTGAATAACTTGTCCTTTAAGTCTCACTATCAGCGTGATTTCCTCTGAGAGGGGAAGCCTTTCTTGACAAGTTTAACTCGCGATCTTCCTACTCTTCAAATCTTACTTAAGGGCTTACATTTACAACTGTTACAGCATCTGTCCCCCTCTCTCCCTGCCTCCCTTCTTGCCCTCTCTCTCCCTCTTCTTCTGCCTTTCTTTTACTTTCTCTGTCTCATTGCACCTTCTTCCCTCCCTTCTTTCCTTTCCTCCCTCCCTCCCTCTCCCCC